CACTTCAATAACGTTCTTAAAAATATTAACTTTAGTGCAATTAAAGCACTAGTGAAGCTTTTCATTTTATCCCAGTGAGAAACTTGAAAATCCATCTGTTACTCTGTAGTTCCTCTGACCATAATGAAAACTGCACTGATTAGATCATAGAGGAACTACACTGAATTTCTTGGAAAGACAACATGCCACCAAGACTGTAGAAAGGACTAAATGCAGCCCAAGAGAAAGAGTGTTACTCATTACTTCAAGGATAACAAGTCATGTTTGCAGTTCATTTAAAGAGGCAAAGCTTTAAAAAAGGTCACATGCTCCTCACTAAACTTGTGTTATTTTACAGTTATTTTATTTGTATTTTAAATTTAGATGATGTCATAGTTTTCATTTGATGTTAATTTTATGCCAGGGTCTTAGTATTCCTAGAGAGGTAGCTCCAAATTTAGGATATAAAACTCACCAAGGCAATTCAGCCAGCATTGTCTGCTTCTGGCACTCTTGGGACAGAAAGGGGAGCCAACTAACTGCTTAGGTGCATTCTAACATATGAGAAGTAAAGCCATGGCATTTAGCCCTGCTGTCAAGAAAAGCTGTCATGGCTAGCTGGGAAGAAGTATCGTAACTTTAGAGCAGTATATGATGTAGACTTAAATACTAAACAATTTAAAAAAAATAGATCAAATAATATTTGATAGTGCAAAAAAACCCCACCAAGCAACCCTCTAAATATATGAAAATAAAACATTTTCATGTGATGATATTTGAAATTTTTATTACTAACCACTGGCCTTCCTGCAGCAGTAGGTGGTTGTTTCGCCAGCTGTGACTGCAAAAAACAAACAAACCCATGTAGTGTTAGATATTACAGCGACCAAGAATACAACCCCAAATGCTTGTAGATAATGTTGTTAAATGAAATAACTGACTGCTTGTTTTATAGACAGAAAATTACCTGCTGCTTCATAAGAAACACTTGATCATCTTCTGCCACAATTTCTTTTTCATGAACAAACTGCAATACAAAAACATTAACACCATTTTGACTAAAAGAAAGTAACGTATTTCCTTTTATATGTCCTGGTGACTATGACCAATTCGATAGTGAAGTAAATGTGTAAAATACTATGTTGACTGTAGACCACGTTTTCTGTATTTAAGACTGCCACCTCATTATTCCATTTAAGCTAAGTTAATTAGAAGTGAAACAGAAGTATCATTAACTCCTTTGACCTGGCAGCCCTAAGTCTCTACGTGTACTTGTAGGAAGATCCACTAAAGAGTTTATTAAAGTGTTCAGTAAGAGAGGAATTAAGTGAACAGTTACAAGGCATGTTCAGGGCTCTCAGGATCAGTCAGAAACACTGACAGCAGAAAGGACATAGTATCAGTTTTTCTCAGCTAAAATAAGTCACACTTGGAAATAGGATTCATCCCAAATTCTGAGCTTTATTATAAAAAGGCATAGAAATATGCCTTCAGTAACTTCTGTACGCATGGGGTCCACTGCTGTTGGTATTTTGTTCAACAGCCTCACATACGTTTTCAGGTAGCTCTGCCAAAGTCTTTTGTAAAATAGCATGAGAGAGAAAAATATCCTGAATATATGTAGAACCTGTTTTCACTAGTTTACACTGACTCAAGCTTTCTTATTTTAAATACTCCAATAGAAACAGAAAGCATTATGAAGTTATGAGCCACTCTAAGCAAAATGGAGTGTTCTTAAAAAATACTAACCAAACCTACCAACAGTTAAACAACTCTTAGATTTTTCAATGCCAAGTATATATTAAAAGCAATACAGGTTTATTCATGGTCTTGAACAATGTAACAGCAGCAGGGAAAAAAAAACACAGCAGAAGCTGGAAAAGAGCTATACAGTGCAAAAATACATAATGATTTTTGATGACTAAAGAATAACTTTAAAAACAGAATAAAAAAAACGAAAGAAAAGCCACACAGTTTATCACGCTCTTATAATAAACTGGAAGCAAAGTCTCAAAGAAAGAGACTCAAAAAACTGACAGGTAAATAAATAGGTGAGAAGTTGAATGCCAAAACATCTTATTTTACCTTTCTGACAGGTGGCTTTATTATGATATCTTCAAAACTGTCTTCTGCTTTTAGTGTCTGAAAGTTCTCATGCAATATTCCTATCTTCTTGTCATTATCCCAACCTGCAGGACTAGATAAAGGATTATTTGGCTTTAAATTCTATCGTTACTTCAGATTATTCTTTTATGCAATCCCAAACTGCACAGAACTGAAAGCCAGGAAAGTTGTCATAGCTCTCGTTCCCCCATACAAGCAAGTTATTGATTAGTACAACCAGTTTGAGACTGGTTTGCTGTAATAAAGAGCAAAATCTCTGGGTTTAACATTTCTCTTTGGGGCAATGAGCATTTGTAATTTCAATCCACTGGCACTCAAACTCCAATGAGAATGTTACAGTGGAACTATAGGAAGCATAAACAAAAAAGGCTCTGAATGCTGTTTAAGGTCTTGCACAAATACATTTTGTAGCCATAATAATACATAATAATGCAGGTTACTTACATAAATACTGCATCTTTTTCCACAACAACAGCTGGAACGTTGAAAGGAAATCCATACAACTTCTGGACTATATATTTATACACTAAATCAATGTTTTTGTTCTCCTTTACTGAAGTGTAAATAAGTGCTGCCCCATCTGAATAAACTTGTTAAAGAAAACTCAGTTTAGTGGCTAGTAAGAGATACTAAAATCAGGTTATCTTCTTTGTAGATTTTAGAGGGGGAATACAAACTCAAAAATCAAATAGGTCAAACAACTTCCAACACTTAATTTTTGAAACAAATTCAGTAATTTAACTCTGTCTTTCTGCATTTGCTTTAGGCCAACTCAGCTATTGCTTTTAGAGTCAAGTACAGGCTCTTCTCACTTTCAAAGCCCACAATACCAACAGTTTCACTATAAGGCCTCCAAAACTGTCTTCTGCTTTTAGCAAACAAAAGTTTTCATGCCATAGCCTTATATCTTGTCATTATCCCATCCTGCACCACAGGCACTACAGTATTAACACTAGTGGCTTCAAAAAATGACAAAGATCTTCCACTTCCACCTGGGTTTTTAAATTAGGGGAACAAGCTCTTATATTATACAGTGATCTGCTTTTGAATGAAATGAAGGCAAATGAGTTGTGCTGTGTGTCAGTCACTAAAAGCCCACGAGAGTGCTTGGTATTCCAGCATGGGTCAGTATCAAACTAACAGAGTTTGTGCACAGGACTAATAAAAGCAGCCAGAGAAGTTTTGAGTAATTTTTGCTTTGGGATTATAAAAGTGCCAACCCCCCTAATTTATTTCTACATGCATGCAATTCAAACTCCTAAAGAAAGTTATATAATGGGACCCGATTCCCATTCAATGAAGTTTAGAATAGAATTCCAAGTTGCACATGGCATATATGATCACAGACTAATTCCTACTGATCTTTTGCAGTGTTCCTCCATCCACAAGACTTATTACAATTGCCCATAATTCCATTTTGAAAAGTTAGGTCTTGAAAGCCTTTTGAAGGAAGTGCCATCTTGGTACTCAGCTGAGGTCTCAAGTTTTTGAACCGATTTTTCCAACTGCTAACTGCTGTCTCTCCAGCAGCATTTAAACTTCCCTTTACCACAGCATAAATGATGATGACACAATGTAGTATGACTGGCATCTGAAACCTAGATTTCAGCACATCTAGCTGACTAAATAACACTAAACTATTTATGCTCTTTAAAAAAATGAAGATTTTTTTTTCATTCTTTATTTAAGAAGTTTGTCGCACAGCAGCATCTTATATGCATCATCTCTGTACCGAGACAAGAGAAGCCAGTGGAACTTTCCTTCAGCAATTCACGCTTCTCTCCTTCCCTCATCACCTCATCCTGGGGTATTATTGCACACTGAAGAGACTGCATCAAAAAGAATAACATGCCTTATGTGCATCTGAAGCATGATCATACTTAAATGAATTATCTTGTTGTTGTTATTTCAGGGATCTTGTCAGCCAAGATGTGCCGATTTCCAAACTGACTCCTAAATATGGAAATAAAGGCAAGTAAAGAAATTCATGGTAAGGGGACATGCTAGACCCTTGCAGCTCGGTAAAAAGAAATAAATAAGTTTAAGTCAACATTGTCTCAGGGGGTAGCTGAAGCAGACTGCCAGCTACAGTAGAGGAGTTGCATACTACTTTGATACAGATGCAAATATTTTTTTAACCTAGTCTTAATTAATGCAAAGATTTAATTGAGTCATTATCATCTTTATGATGTGTTAAAGGATACACTGTAAGCAAAACCGTCTGATATGTGACTGAATGAAGTCGAAGTGTTCATCTCTGTAGTCATGCTCTTTTTCCAGAACACTGATGGCATCACACTGTCAAGATAAACACAAAATTAATACACTGCTTTCAGTTAGCTGTTGAAATAGCAGCGCTGCTACACATCCAGTTCACAACTGGTCAAGGGGAATGGAGAAGGGTGGGTGATACAGAGAAAAACAAAAACTTGCTGAGATAGTTTAGAAGTGCAATTGAACAAAATGTCTCTTTTTAATAATATATAATTTGATGTGTATGTAGCGTGGTCAGCACTAACTTGAGAGTTAAACTGACATTTTACATTCACCCACTCCATGTCCCCAACAAAAACTCGAAGTCTCTGTTGAAGACTGACCCACTGAATGACACTGCCATTTTCTGCACAACTGTGGTGGCTTTCTTGTTTGTGTTTTTTTTTTGACACACACTGGTATTACAGGAAATAGTATTTTTTTTATTCAGATACTAACTAGCCCTTTGCAAAGGGAGACAAAAGCAAGAGATGTGGAAGCAGAAAAAAAAAAAAAGGGCAGAGGAAGGGCAGCACGGTGTGGGAGAGAGGAATAGTGGAGAGCCAGCAGGTGAGAGAAAAAAGGTGCTTTTCAAATGAGAGAATTAGCTTCCCAGTGAAGGAACAGCTTATGCATCAAAAAGTTTATTCTTTCACTGTGGGCCAGCAGAGGCTGCAGATGCAGTATGCTTAATGCCAATGAGAACCGAAGAGCCAAAGGGAAAAAAAGAAAATAAAAATATCCCCAAAGAAGCCACAAGAGAACCATACCACTTTTTCTTTAAACTAGTAATATGGTTACACATTCAACAGAAACCAAAACAGATCACAGAAATACCCCAAGAATTGAGGAAAGTTAATGGGGCAGCACTTTACTAACTAGAACCCTCATATATATTCACCTTTGTAAAAAGATCAGAAATATTTAAAAACCCAAACCCTATCAAAACACTATTTATAGAATAAGGACAGCTGTGGAGATTAAGGAGAATTCTAGTTGCTTACTGACTGGCTCGCTTCTGTGAACAAAACCAGGTCTGAGGTATTCCTCAATTCCTTGAAAACTGGTAGAACTTAAGAAAAAACTACTCCCAGATTACATGCAATTATAGGGCTTCCAAAAAATAACCAACCTCCAACATTTAATCATTTGTAAAGAATTCTTAACTAAGGTACTCAGAATGACTGAAGAACCATGTGCTTCCCCACCCCAAATCCACAATTGACAGAGTTGCTTAAATAAAATACATTAAAAAAACCTGAAACATGAAACAAACCTTTGTACAAACTACTACTACTGGAATGCCTAAGTTACATGTTAGTGTATCTGCACCCAGGGGTAAAATCACACTGTCATCTTTGTCTTCCTGTAATGAAGTATTTCTTCTCTGTGGAGAAGCTGGAAAATCCTCGCCTGGTTCTATATATTCCTGGAAGTCTCTTACCACTGAAAGTAAAAAGAGTTACATTAAAAGATCAGCTACTTTATTATTGCAACAATGATTTCCATTGCCATCGATCTCTAGCACTGTTGACTGTATAGTACTTCTGCTTCTTTATTTTGAAAAAAAATTGAGCATGCACCAAGTGCTGGCTATTTGTTTGCTCTGTGCAGCACAAGACAGAACTACTGAGTTTGAGATCTGCTTGAGCAGCAGCCAGAAGAACATGACCAGATAAAACCATCCAGAAGGACAACATTAAACCATTTTTGTTTTATCATTGTGGAACCACTAGGCAGTTGCTATTAACTATTATTGCTTGATATGTTTCCTAAAGGGTACAAGTTTCCTTGCATTCTTCTTGGCAAAATTAATGGAACAGTTTGTTAAACAGAATTAAGCCTTCCACATATTGCTCAGCTGCTACTATATACCAGGTTTTACCTAAAACCCCTTTGTCCACACTTCTCTCTCTGTACAGTGAATCTACAGTAGTAATAAGCAAAAAGAATAGAAAACACAAACATTAGTTATTAACTACCTTTACAATTAGTTAATAGCATATTAAATATTTTGTATGCTTTTACAATAGATCAGATACTACTTTAAAATTTAGCAAGGAGGGCAAGTCAGAATACAACATGAATTAGAAAAATTAAAGTTATGAGCATAACTCTCTTGTCAGCTTCCAATACACTCAGGCCTCTGCACAGTCACTATTCCCACATTCAGGAATGCAGTATCCAGCATAAAATATCTGTACCTTTCATATCACATGTCTTGTTTCACACAGCAGAAACAGGATTCTACCAAAACCCACCACTGATTACTCTTCCATGAGTAACATCCTGATTCAGCCAAAAATCAGGCAGCAAGACAATTTAGCTGAATCATGCACACAAGCAGCTTACTACTCCAGTACATTCTCACTGCATTGTCCTGATTTATGTTAATCCACCCCTACCTTCACTAAACTGATTGAAACCCTCTCAGTTTATACCTAGAAAAGCATTAGTTGAAGCAAGACTTAATTCAACACCCTAGAGAAAAAAAACAAAACAAAAACAAACAACAAACGAGAGAGATGTATTAGGCCAAGATTATTCAACTTTTCTACAGATCTTGGAGTTCACAACAACAAAAAGCACATGCACAAATTATCATCCCTACTATAACAGCAAACTCAGGCTGTCATTCAGGGAATGTTGCTACTTCAGTCTGGTCTGAGAGCTTCTGAGAGCCTCCCAAATTGCCCGTGTTTTAAACCCAGAGTTCTCGCTAAGATACATCAGCCACTAAAGGGAGTCTTTTCTACACAGCTTTCTGTCTTATTCTGAGATAATTGCATGCTAAAATAAAAATCACGCTATTTCAGTGCTAGAAGTCCTCCAGTGGTTTCCTAAAATTCCTGTTGTATGATTAAGACATACTAATCTTTATGCAAAGTACAGGAAACAGTAAGGAGGAGGACTGATGTAGTATATCATGGCTCAACACTGTGGAATACAATCTCAGGCCTTCCTTAGAGACACGATTCAAGTGACCAGGCCCCAAGGCTTCATTAGACACAGCTGAATTCAGTGGCAAGAGCAGCTATTCTAGCCCTTCACACAGAGCTGCTGTGCATCCTCATTAGACACAGCTGAATTCAGTGGCAAGAAAAGCTATTCTAGCCCTTCACACACAGCTGCTGTGCTTAATGCCTTCCCACACCAGTTTTAGTCCTCACAGGGTCTGCCTTTGCAAGACCTGGAAGACAAACACAGCAGCACACCTCCACACAAACCCTCAGTAGATTTCAGTCCTGTTAGCAAGTTAAATCAGCTCACAGGAGCATTGAGTCTGACAGAAGAATAAATTAGAACCAGATAGCCAGAAGTCAGGCAAGCAAGATTCCTCCCCTCCTCCTTTTGGCAGCGTCAAGCTGCTGCCCGCCTAGCAATGCATGAAGTCACATCACAGGAGGTTCAAAACAAATGCAGCTTCCAGCAATATCTGGATTGTGTCCAGGGCTTCTATTATACCCAACAGGCAGACCATCAGTACCTGTAACAATTAGACCAGATGATAAAAGAACAAGAGAGCAGATAAAACTTTTAATAAGCAGCTGCTTTTCTTGACTCGCTTCACTTAAATTTTCTGGATTTTATAGAGTTTCACTATTCTGTTCACTCAGTCAGTAAAAAAGCAAAACTATCAGCCTACACATTTTTGATAACAGACGTATTGTGTCCTTCCAGCCAGTAAAATCCTACCCTGAAACTGTTTGGGCAGTTGTTTAATATACACACACGCATACACACACGGTAACGCCAACCTCAAAACCAAACCAAACCAAAAACCACACCCAAGAGAGCTCAGCTCCTCCCTCCTAAACAAGTTCTTGTTGTGGAAGATATGATTCTCAAGGATGATGCTTCCCTTAGAAGAATCTCTCTCAAAACAACCAACTTCTCTCACCCAGAGTATCTATAACTGTCACCTCAGGGGCTACTTTATCACAGCGTGGCTACAGCCTGCATTTCTGAAAAAGCTCCTCAGCAATCTGGTAGTCAGTTGCTTAAGAACGTACCGGTTCCAAAGAGCAGCTTCAGACTTATAAACAAAGTGTAATTAAGCTATTTGATCTTAATGAACAGCTTTCCCAAATGCTCTTCCATGTAGTAATTAATTGGGAAATGAATGTGAGAGCCTCATGTTTTGGTACCCCAAGGGAAACACAGCGGCTCCCCAAAAGCAGTACGGAGCTCTGACATTAGTGAGTTCACTCAGTTTAAGCAATACTGCAAAATCTTTGTGTTCTGCATGTTTAAACTAAAAAAACAAGGCACCAATAGAGCTATATCATAACTATGCCAAAACAAACTTATACCTGCATTAGTGTCAATAATAATAATAATGATAAAACTCTTCAAGTAGAAAGGGTGCAGACATTACCATGCTGTCATGAATCCTTTCAACATTTACGCTTTTGGCAGGCAGAGAACAGGTCCCAAATTCTCTAGACTGGCTAATTACAGGAACTGTTAAGAAGCTGATGCAGTGATTTGCCTTTAAATAAATAAAATTAAAACCAGAAAGCCTATAAGATTTTTCACTTGGGAGAATCTTATCCAGAAAAATCCATAAGAAGCAGGATTGTAAATTCAACCCAGCTGTGTTTGCTGCAGGAAGCTCCTTCCCCCACCAAAAGGTACTTCTGTTAGAAAGAAATACTAGCATTTTTCAAATAGCTACTTGAGACTTATCTGAAGCTAGACTTGCTTGATAGCTCCTTATTTTAAATAACATTTTTAAAGAATGAAAAAGACTGCAATGGAGAGATTAAATGGTGCAGAAAGCATTAAGCATATTTGATTAAAAGGGGTTCTTACGTATTTGCAGAATACTCACACTTTTGTTCCATTTCTTTCATTTCTTCAGGAGGAATTTTTAACTTGTCAATATGTTCTCTTACAACACTTGCCCATTTTTGTAAAGAATCCAGTGCAGTCCAAGGCCTAGACATGTCTACTACCAACATAATTAGAGTGTCCTTTAGAGAGCTTGCCTCCATCGCAAATTTAAGAAGACCTTTGTGATACAAGTCACCATCCAAAATCCATACATTACATCTTGTTTGGTCTACAAAAAAAAGAAAAACATTTAGAGACTTACTTTAAACAGTCTACTACATAATGGCTACTAAGTCTTCTTTAGATGTGTAAAATACAAGGAAGAAAGATGACATGTCTTATCAGTCAAACATACATAACAAGACAGCAAACTGCAGCTTTTCTCTTCCAAACCCTCATGTTTAATGGCTGATAACTGAAGATGTGAAATACATTACCTGAAAGTGAGAATCTAGAGATAGCACTCAACATTTCAAAAGATAATGTTCACTATTTTCGAGAGGGAAAATGTTTTCTTCAAAATGCAACTTGGAAGGGTGAAATTGGGTGAATTCAGCCATCCCTTCTCAGCCCTTGGTCTGCTCAGCTCTCAAGGACTGCCATCTCCCCTTCAAAACTCCAATGTGATATGCCTATATAACTCTTAAAGAACAGAATGTGCCTTGGCCCTTCAGAAAACTGGAGCAGAACCGCAAAATTTTAATTATTTAGATGGACTTAGCAGGTAAGAGTTATTCTTCAGATTTTGCAAAAGGACAATCACCATGCAAACAGACTAATTCATTACACCTCTACAGTGCCTGCTCGTGGTCCTTCCCTTGTTCCCCCTTATATAAGCAATTATCCATTCCATAGCTGCAGGTATTTGGGGTCTGGATCTTAAACATGTTTTTTACTTTCTAGCCATAAGCTAGAACTCAAGCCAGCTGAAACACAGCTTCTACTTACTTTCTCCTTCCTTCAAATTTTTGGGTTGGTGGGTTTTTTGTTGTCGTTGTTTGTTTTTAAAATCTCCTTTAGCATTATGCACATCAATACATCATACATAATCTTACAGATTCTGATACCCCCACGACAAAGGCTTCTCTGTATGTTCAAAGAGATAAATATTTGCTACAATAATTGAGATGCAAGATAAGAGCCTGGGCATCTCTTCCTCTCTGCCTGAGGAAGGCACTTTTGCCTACAGTCCATTCAGAATGTTGCAGCTAAGACTGCTTCCCCACTCTTTTCAGCCTTTTCTTTTGACTAGTTCCCCTCCTATACCACTTCAGCGGTCATTGATGGTATCTACTAAGGGAATTACACTGACAAACTTCCTCTTGATACAAATCACTCATGGCCTAAGCTGGACTCCTGCAAGTTACAAAGAAAGCAAAACATCCCACTGTCATGCCAAATATCACTCTATTGAGCCATTGCTTTCAAATTGGTTTAAGATACTATTAGATAGAAAAACTTACCATCTCGATCTTCATCATGCACATTTAAATACAAATACTCCATTCCTCTTCCTTTTTTGTATTCCTCTATTCCTTGAATTTTTCCTATTAAGCTAGTTTTACCTGCTCCATCTTCACCTGGAGAGACAGAAGTTAGATACCACTCAATCTTTAATCACAATTGCATATTAAAAACCACCTGGGGCAAGAAGGAAACCATATACTAACAGGGTGACTGAGCTCGTTACAGTTTTGAAATATAACAGACTTTGCCCAACTCATCCATCTGTTCAAAGTGCATGCCTCAGTTTCAAATCTTATTTCTAGTTATTGATAAACGCACTATTCCACTAACTATCCCATCTGAAACAGGCTCTTATCTTTAAAGAGATAACTTAAAGGAGTAGTTAAACACCTCAAACAATTTCAGTCTTTCAACTGCAACCAAAGTGGTAACAAAGTCTTTCTAAAGTAGAGTTCAGGTCACAGTAACTCATCTTACAGTCAGAAGAATAGGATTTAGAACTCTTATAATCAAACAGCACACACCACCAGGCTCAGTAAGGCAAATCTGTTTCCTTAGCTTTTATGGGTTCGTTTCTTTCAATCTTTTTTCTGTTACATGTCTAAAGAAATCTTAAAGAGAGGTGACAAATAGTAAACCCATTGTCTTACAATACATGTGGATGTGTGTACACACACAGTGACAAGCCTGCAATCCAGATCCATTCACTCCTAGTTTGAAAGAGTAATCAAGCTGAATTTGGACAAGAAGTGGAGTTTTGCCACTCTTAATTTGGCAGTACAATGGTCACATAACAGTTAGACATTGAACAATTCTTGGGACTCACTCACAAGTTACAAAATTAAGATTAAAAACAGGTTACTAAAAAGTACCCTATCAGTTTTATGCCAAACAGAACATTTTTTCTCCAAGTCTTTCCTATACAGTGAGAGTATAAACACTCGTTTTAAGCTACATAGCAAAGAGAAAAGTTCAAGGACAGTAATTTTGACCTCTAAATGTAATGAAGTTTTTCCCTTTAAAGGGAACTGACCACGACCTTATAGACAATATTATGGCTACATTAAAAAGACTAAAAATATAACCACAGAACAGAGCAGAAAAATCATAATTTGATAGACTGATTTTGAATTCCTCAACATATAATTCCCAATATTACCACATGAAGCGTTCAATTTAGAGTTCAGCTTTATTTTCAGATTTCACCAATAGTCTAGAAGCTACCAGAAAGCATAAGAACATTTACTCAAAGTAGCCAGGGGATTCTACACAATGGAACAAAAAGGCATTTAAAAAATGATAATAATAAAAAAGCAAGAGAGAAAAATAGGACCAGAAGTGAAGTTTAATCTATGGTTAGGTATAGAGAAGTTAAACTGATACAACTTCATTTTTCACTTTTTCAACATTTAAGAGTTTGTTTCCTAGTTCCTTAACTAGCAAAATCAAGATGCACCGAACGAACTAAACAATTATAGCTAATTTTAAATAGATATTGCAAAGCACAGGTATTTTCTATTCACACACTGAGCTTTTCATTTTCTTGTAAGAATATTCTTGTAAATAAAAATTCTGCCCAAGAAGCGAAGCATTCGAGCTTTGTCGCCAGAGATAAATTACAGTTCCTCCTCTGCCCTCATCCAAGTACTTAACCAAGCTTCTTAAATTTGTCATCTACAAATAACTGGGGAGACTTTATTAAGAGCTGCTGCACTGACATGTTATGCTGCTGAAGTTGCTGTTACTTTTGCCAACAATTTGTGTGATTCATTCTGTTATTTTACCTTTTTGAACAGGCAGCTTCAATTAATTTGTGCTAGCAGAAGGCTCAAAAGGTAGGACAAAATCTCTTATTCCTTTTCAAGAGGAATTGCTCTTAACAGTTTTTCTAGTTTCTCAGAACAGCTGAGAAAGTTTTCTCGCATAGTAGTTTGTTTCACATAAGTGGCAATAAAGATTACAATTTGTTTGCATTGGGAAAGTTTAGTATCTTCTGCAAAAGTATATCTGCCAGTTTTTTATGGCAGACACTTTTGTTAAGGTCTAAGAAACATCTGTGGTTATGAAAAGTTCTGAACATGACAAAAGATACACTTAAGTAAAACATACCTACACAAATGATAATATCTATGCAAATGTATTGTTTGAAAATGCTCATGCTAAACAATATAGGTAAACTTGAAATATGCATCCCACAAACCCCTTACTTATCATAGCTGTATGTTTTCTGATTTCCTTCCCACCCCCATATTTCCAAATGCCTGCAGTAATCTAAGGTCCAATGCCGTTGAGTATCTTATGCCAAAATAAGAGCTGGAATTTTATTTCCCTTCTCAAGTTTTCCAGTAATTATCTTCAGACTACACAGAAAGAAATTTTATCAATATAGCATAAGGCAAGTTGATTTGATGTAAAATTAGTGCCTTTGGACACATGCATACAGCCTTCCATCATAGAATTACTTAAATTTAATCTGTTCTGTGAAGAACATTCTCTACTCCCTTCTCCTTATATCCACCCATTTCAAAATACCAAGATCAGGTAGGTGGGTCACTGACACACGTAACTATATCATTCAAGTTACTGCATGCAGAGAGCAGCGCTCATCATTCACTAGAAAGCCAGAATGATGCATCACTGAAGTTTGAAGAGATTGATACTACTTTCATTAACTACTCAGGTAATTGTTTGCAGATGATACAAACCAAAATATCTGGAGAAAAGGATGAGAAGCAATACTGACAAATGGTCCAAAACAATTAGCAATGCATAAACCAACTACTCTACAAACAGGATGACCCACTCGCAAGGGTGCAATATTGCTGCCTATCCAAATGTGCCCTATTCTACAGGAGATCTAGAGTTCTCAACAGATTTAAGCCAAATTAAAGTCAAAATTATAGAAAAAGCTGCAAAGTAAAACCAGAACCATCATATATGACATAAGGACTTCCTCCTTTTTGCCCACACAATTCATAAAAAGTTAGGAAAAAATGACTGCCTTGGTCAGCCTTGCTAAGACTTGAGGTTCCATCTACCCCTACTTTCTATTTTTAGTATGTTGCATATACCTTTTAAAATTGTGACAGCTGCAGATGTATTTGTATCCTTATTATTAACTTATTTTTTCCAACCTAAAGTCTTCAAAGTAAAACACAAAAGTCAACACACTTTGAATATACTGAGTTATGCTGGGAAAGAGCAGCAGTATAATTTTACTTGGTAGTTACTCTTCAGCAAGACTATCAAAGCACAAAATGATCTTAAATCAGTGCTTATCTAAAACTCCTGAACAGTTGTTATAAATCTCATTAGCAAATTAATTCTACTGCATGCAATGCTAGCTTTTAAGAATTCTCAAAATTCAAACATTTTATTGTAATGCCTTCAGTATGTATAGAAGCTTCTCTCCACCAGTGGAGTGGGCGAATATTTGTGAGGAAATTAAAGTCTATTAGCCATTTTAGGTTTGATGGATAACGTACAATAATGCAATTAGCATTAAGTACTACAAGGGACATATATAAAAGTATATATGCTTTTTTAAGCAGTAAGGACACACTATATGGCATTTGAAATTACAGACCCCAAGACATTGGAGCATATTTATGTTTTTGTCATCTCCGGATGTCTAAAGTATACGAAAAAGTAATGCTGCTTAGTTTCACACAAAAAGGAAGTTTCATATTCCTCAGACTTTAACATCATTGCATAGTAATATTATGAAACAGAATTATATATTTTTTAAAGTGCTACTGAAGCAATATATAAAACAGAGCCTCATGCACCTTCAAAAAGGTCCTCTTCCCTCCAAATTTTTCAGGTGGAAAATCCTTTAGCTTCTTCTTTATTTCTAAGTGTGTGATAATCAAATTTAAAATTGACGTTGATACGTAAGCTCACTAAGCAAAACATTCCTAACACACAATTCTTGATATAGAATTGCATGGTAGAATAAAAATCAAGTAGATCATTGCAAAGTTAACGCTTTGCATTCTTATTTTGCAAGTAACGTAAAAGATCCTCATTTCACACAGTAAATCCTAAAAACCTAACATTCTCCATTACATCAAACCACACTTACACATTAATACTACAGTGAGGAAACAGAAGTGGTGCTTCTGTAGCAAGCAGCGCTACACAGCAAAGCCGAACACAAGTAAAAGAGGGACAGATTTAATTTTGCAGAAAAGTCAGGCGAGGAAGCAGCTGAAACAAAGCCAAACCAATCTGCTTACACTCAGTATTTCACCATCTTGTTAACAAAATGGAAAGCCCTTATACTCAACTAAACCAAAGCTGTTCTCCCCACCCCACTGCGCCCCTCTCCTCTGGGGAGCCCCACACCCGGGGCTGGGCTCTGTCCAAGGTGCTGCTCCGGCCACAAACGGGGTCCCATGACACCCACCCACCCACCAAGACACGGGGAGCCCTCAAACAAGCCCCTGCCCAGCCTCCCCCCCCTCACTGCTCCAGGCTACACTACAGAATTTAGCAGGACAGTCACCCATCGATGGGAAGGATGGGCAATGAGGTGAGTGAAGCGCCTTCTGTGGATGGAGGCAAACAGGCACTTACCTACAAACTGCTACTTCAGCTGTTCAACCTTAAACTATCCCATTAGGCAGAACTTGGGCTCTCTATTACAGAGCTTCTCTAAACTTTCAGTTAAACATTTTAACATGAAGACTATTTACTATTCATGCTATTTCCACATTTCTTTCAGTTGAAAATGAAAGCAGAAGTAGATTTTCACTTCTCAAACCAAGACACTTCTTACTTCTCGCAGAGGTCTGTACACAGAAGAGCAATCAATGTGTTATCTCAAGTCAAAACTCATGTCTGTCCTGTTTATTTAAATTGCTTCTCCTCTGTAAAGTGTCAAGCGTGTTTATAATACGCAAGGCAAAGGAGCAAGAGGTGAATGTTTCTTTTGTGTCATCAGTGTTGTTGGTCTGCCCCACTTCCATCCAGGGATCTGATTATTTTTTTCCAACGGCTCTTTGAAAAGCCCTGGATGCACTTAATTGCATGTAATCTATAATCCTACTGCTTCCTTGAGGGAGGTTTTTTGGTTGCTTTTTAAAAGCAACAATTAAAATTCAGCTTGGTA